AAAAATAATTTTTGACCATCTGGTTGATTCCATTAAACACAACCTCTTGTAATAATTCAGTTTTAATAAACTGACTCTACTTTTCATAGTTATCCACCCCATAGAACGGCTTCATTTGCTGTGTATCAACATGCTCCTAGAATAAACTTTCCCATGTACGTTGCATTCTTTCTAATTTTTCCATATCTGTTGAACTAAATATTAGTAACTCACAGGCATACTCTAAGGCAGGTCTAATAATGTGGTTCCACAGGGATATACCATAATCTACTCTATTTACATTGCCATGGTTACCAAGAATTGATTTCATAATGGGGAATAACTTGTTAAACTTTTCAGACATTTTTGTACATTGTGTATGTTACGTGTAATCCAATAACCCAAATATTTATACTCAGACGCTTCTTTTATCTTCGAGTTCCCAATCTGCCAATCTTTGTTTTTGTTAACTTTCTTGTTAATGATCAACACGTTTGACTTTTCCTCATCAATTGTCATCTTCCATAGCTTGCAGAAATGGTTTGTGAAATTTAACATGGATTTGAGTTGGACCTCATTTGGTGCAATAAGCACCACATCATCAGCAAAAAACAATCCATTTATACAAATTTCATCCAATTTAACACCAAGTAGTGAATCATCTAACAGTTTTTTGAATTCATTCATATAAATTGAGAATAACGTTGGGGCTAAAACACATCCTTGTTTTAAACCCTCATTCTGTGTAAAATAATCTGTTTCAATATCGCCAAATGATACTTTACTTTCAATATGGTTATATGTATTTTTTGATATTTGATTCAACCTTGTTATAGAAAATATGGTCATTCAACTCCTGTACACAATTGATAAAATCTCCCCGAGTACAATAACATGTACCGTTGAGGGCACTATAACTATAGAATTAAGAGTGACATGTAGATGTACAAGTTATTAGCACAGGGAGCCCAGGAACTATAATCAACTGTAATACGCAGTCTCTATGAGCGCGGGGGGGGGGGGGGTATCGGCTGGTATCTAGTGTAAGAAATAGACTCGGGATGAAGGCCCCAGCCAGCTCACATTTTTTAAACTCGAAAAAACAGACGAAAAGAATGAAAAATAAAATATAAAAAAAATACCAGGTTGAAGAATATTAGTTGCTTCTTCAAATTTCGCCAAAGCCCTACCTATATTTTACCGATATCTGCAGAATAAATCAAGAAAACTACACAAATTTACTCCATTTAGGAATTCCTAACGGTTTGCCCGAACGCATGGCACAGTTGGAGGCGTGGCCTGTTCAGCATTTGTCAAGAACCAATCACAAGACTGGTTACGAACCACATCGAGGTCACGACTCTGTTAGCCTTGCTCAACTGGTTCGTAACCAGTCTTGTGATTGGTTGTT